TGATAGGAATAAAAATTAAAGTCTGTCATTCAGTCAAGGGCAAGTGGTTGTGAATATGTAAGAAAAAGAAAACCTTTCATGTCATTTTTTGGCCAAAATTTGATTTTGAACTGTTTCTTTAACACTGAGTACAATCAAGATATACAATCTCAAAGGCTGATCAAAGGCTGACCTGCAAGGCATGGGTCTGCTGATCATATGTAGGTGCAAGGACAACCCTGAGAAATAATCAGGAAGATTTCACATGCCTGGAATCAGAATAAAATGAAATTTTGAACATTAGTACTAATTTTGGGGAGCAAGGAAGAATGTTTGATTTCCCACCAGTTTGTTTTCTTGATCATCTACATCATAGATGTGGTTCAAATTGCTTCAGCTTGACAGGTGTGAAATATAAGAGTTGCATTAATACAGATCTAATTTCTTCATTGTAGTAGTTAAACACCATGAAGATAAGGAATATCTAAGTTTGGGATCAAGATTAAGCCTCCTAAAGGGATTATATTTTTTTTCAACAGTAAATATTATTGTTATACAAAGAGAAGGACCTCAAATGAGAGGTAGAATAATTATTAAAAGACAGGCATGGTGAAATGTGTGTATCATTCACTGTCATATTTACTAAAAGCCTTCAGAGAATTGAACCACAATATATGTGATGAAAGTATTTAGACAGTCCTTTCATGAAAATAATTTCTATTGTAGCTTTGTAGGGGTCCCTGACAGATGACATGTGTGAATCTAGAGACACTTGGTCGATATTCCCTAAGAAACCTCATCTTGTAATCCACTCATTGTTCTTGGATTTTGTTGTACTGTTGAAATTCCCTCTTTTGGTTCAGTTTGTTTCCCTACCGATTCTCTTCACATGCTATTTACACAGGGTTTTTTTCTGCTTATATTTGCCCTTCATTTTTATGAGGAGTACAAAGGTCTTGTTGAAATTGCTCTAACAAATGCTTTTCAGCGGGTGCTGGCTGAAATAATTGTATACATCAGCTGTGCTTTCAAGTGCTTCAATGTTAGAAACCAATTATTTCTATCACCAGGTAGCCAGCTAATGGTGGAGGGGTCATTTGTCATGGAAAGATCTGATCATGTTTCAGTGCTTTCTTTGTAAGGTGTTTGAGTCTTACTTTATTGTAAATTTTTCAAACCCTGCAAGTGTACTCTGAAGAGAATATCAGAAAGATACAGAGTCAGCCAGAGTTCACTGAAAACATTTAAAAACCAACTTATTTACAGTTTTTCCTTTTTTGGGGGGGAAGGAAATGACAGGAGCCACTGACACACTGGGCAACTTAAATCTCAGTAGCTGACTCTAATAGTAATGTGCTGCTTTCAGCCTGCTTTATTAGTAGGAAAGAAGCTCACCTGAAGAATTCTACCTCGTTCAATGTTAAATCTGTATTACAAGAAATTTGTGTGTTGTCTTTCATAGATACAGCCGTTTTGCACCTTTTTATATGTGATAGACTTTAATATAAAGCATACTAAGCATTCGTGATAGGTGGATGGTTGGAGTAGATGGTCTTGGAGGTCTTTTTGAACCTTGCTGGTTGTATGATTCTCTGAAAAGCTCCTCCCTTTTCTTGTTTTTCTTCACTGTTCTATTCCATTTACGAGGTTGCTGGAGAGCAGCAGAAGTCACGGTGTCTCTCTGGAAATGAGATGGTTGCCATGACAAAGCTCCCAGCTGCTTCTTGTCCCAGATGAGAAAATCGTTTTTAGACTCGCATGTTTCAAGGTTAGGCTGCAATGTTTTAAACTGAACAGTATAGTTAACTGATTTGAATCAGAGATGTGCTAAAAATTGTCTGTTGAATAGAATATTTGTTCTGTTAATTTAACTGGTTTTATTGTTGTTTTTATTTGTTTTTGATCAGATAGCTGAGGTAAAGCTGTTGTACTGACATCAGGATTTGCATGTTATTGAATTCAGTTTGTCCATAGCATCCCTCTCAAATATATGTCCAACCTTAAAAATTCCAGAGTAAAGAGATTTTGTTTTGTGTGTTAAGTTTGGATATCCAACTACAATATACTTAATATTTTATACTTAATGTATTATACATTATACTTAATTCTCATGTTTTCCAGAGGGACCATTACTCTATCAAACAGAAAAAAAAATATATTTTTTCTTTCTGGATAAACCTATGCTGGATACTTTTCACTGCCTTATCAA